ATCGATCGATTCCGATAACGCCGATTTGGTATTATCGATCTTACGTCATCGTTGGTCCATTTGATTTCTAAGGCAGACGAGCCTTTTTTCTTCAGACCGTCTCGTCTAATTTTATCCACAAAACTTGGTAATCGGATAACGATGTTCGTAGTTTCTGATCGGAGAATCGTCCGGAAAGTTTTACTGTGTTGTAAATCCAAGTCGGAGCCATTAATTTGGCCTTTGAAAATTTCATCGAAGCTTTTAACGAGAAAGTTGTATATAATTTTCAATGGAGTTCGTGCGTTCGGAGTATCTGCACTTTTTCTTTAAGTCATGGCTGTTTTTTGCCTTTTTCTTTCATTCTTTTTTTTTGGCTGCTTTAGTTCACCTCGAAGTCCGTTCGGGCTATTAAAGCAAAACGGGTCGAGTTTATCGATGAGAAATAGGCCATTATTGGTGAGGCCACCGAGTGGGTTGCTGGGTCTTCGGAACCAATAAGTTCCGTGTCCTGTGTGTGTTCGATTTATATATAGAATTCCTTAACGATTCGCGACGTTCGGAATTGAAGTTTGGCTGACAACTTTTTTCTGGTAATATGTATATACATATATATATATATATATATATATATATATATATATAAATGTGTCGATAGTATAGATGCGCTTTTCTTGAAACTGCTACCTCGAAATATCACAGCCTTGGAATTCTACCCTAACCTAACCTAACCTAACGTAACCTTTTCTAAGCCCATCACATCTCCGGGTGCCCATAATAGAAAAAAATTGAAAAAAATTTAGTTTCACAAAATTGCTTTACGCGACTCAATTCTGTCAAAAAATAACCCAAAATCAAATTTATGTACGTCGTCTCGCCTGCTTCTTATTTATTTAATTAAATCCACGCGCTATCGAGAATCGATATTCTAATTTTATTGCCACGCGATTCCTTCCGAATTAATGACCAGGCTTGATATCATCGTGCGGACTATGAAATCGAACTGGTATCATCTGCGAACATCGAAACCACCGTATATAGCCAGATTTCGTGAGTGTACACATATCGCATTATGTAATATCGATTATATATGAATATACACCTTATCGTCCGTCCGCTCAATATTCTCATATATATACGTCCGGATCGATGACGTTACGTGCCGATTCGGATTTTTTAAAATTAATAAACATTTCAGGCCGAGTCGAAATGTTCAACGTTTTTTTTTATGTAGCGGTTAAAAAATATGTATCAATACACAGCTGCCCGTGCCATTACGTCATAAAGTAATCCGCTATCACTAGGTACACCGGCTAATAGATTTTAGGGAGCCTAAAATTCAAAATTATTTTTCATATACAGTAACGTCCAATTGAAGTGCAACACTTGAATTTTTGTACATGTCTGTGAAAGTATGACAGATTTCGAAAAACCAAAGATATATTTTTTAGGAAATTTCCTTCTCGTTCGAATGGTAAAGGCTTTATCCCGATCGGATACAAAATGGCCGAGTGGCAGGGGCTTCGACCGGTACGAAGTTTCTGGAAATAATTTAAATTGAAAAAAAAATTTTATTTCCAATTTAAATTTTTAATGCTTCACTCCAACATGACGATGGTCATTTGAAATTGGAATTTATCGATGACCCCCACGATCGCTTCCACTGCCTTATGCATTCGCTTAACGGAAGTCGCTATCCTTCCCATATCTGTTTGGCTGACCGTACGAGTAATAAGGAAATACAGATGGACGATAAGGAAAAAAAAAAAAAAAAAAAAAA